GAGAAATTATGTCAAAGTCCACCTTTTGCTTGTTGCCTTTCTTGTGTCTCATGTGACACATGTACAGACTTTGATTACCAAAGAGAATTGTAAGCTAGTAATGCTCACAAACTTTATGGATGAAATAAATGCCACAGAGTGTGACCAGTTATAGGGATCATCTGTGCAGCATTTGGAATTTTCCTCGTAACCTGTTTCATGTAAGCCTTGGAGAGAATCTATAGCTTATATTTCAGCTGTTCTCTGCCCAGTGTAGCCTAGAGCAAGGGACTCTCTGCAAGTCTGGCTCAACCATTCCGCCTTGTAAATTCTGCATGCAGTCAGGAAGTGTCTGCTTGTATTGTGAGAGCTTCCTGGAAACTAAACTTTCCATTTGTGTCCCTCAGGTTTTATTGTTAGTTGGCACTTTGTGCATTGATAATTCGACTTATTAAATAAGCACTAAATCCCTGTTATATGGCCGGAGATTTGGGGGAAAGAGATGAATAAGCTAGATATTCACAGTAAGAATAGAGTTCAGTGATGGAGGTGGTTGGTTAAGTAGACACTGCTTTGAAAAGGACAGTATGTTTATTAAGGTATTTAAAACAAAATCTCTGTGAATTGGGGGAAGAATGGGAGGACAGTATGTTTATTAAGGTATTTAAAACAAAATCTCTGTGAATTGGGGGAAGAATGGGAGGACAGTATGTTTATTAAGGTATTTAAAACAAAATCTCTGTGAATTGGGGGAAGAATGGGACTCTGGATGGAAATAACACTTTAGCTGCTCTGTGAAGAATTGGGAGAGTTGTACAGGCATAGACCTTTGAAGGTCATGTAAAGGATAGGGGTTGGGGTGACTACATCTGTTTGAGAACTATAAGGTACTCCTAAGTTTGTTGGTTATAGAGCTACAAAGAAATAGGTTGATTTATTTCTTAAACATGTATTATTTCTACCCATTTGCTGTGGAAGTAGAGACAGCAGTGTTTAATGTTGAGTGGCTTACTACACTGGTGCCATTGAAGACACTGAAGTTAGAATGTGCCAGCATGGAAGATGTACCCAAAGCTGAGTAATTTGGTAGCCTAATGAAACATTGTGGAAGGGGCAGGGAATCTGCTGCCTTTACCACAACCTTGCCCACCCACCTCATCTGCTTATAGTTCTCACTCTGCCTCTTTGTCTCCATTCCTTACCCTGAATGCATAAAACTTCTACAGCACCGGCCCCCACTTTGAGATGAGGTCTCAGCCTCCAGTCATAGCCCAGGCTATCCTGGATTTTAGGACAAAGTCCAGGCTGACCTCAGGTCCACAGTAATCACGCTTATTTTAGCTTCCTTAAGTGTTGTGATTATAGGTGTGAGCTACTGTGCCCTCCTCCAACTTGTTCTGATTGTTTTGAGAGCCCCCTCACCCCATCACACACACATACTCTGTGTAGACCTGGTTGTCCTAGAACTTGCTCTGTAGATCAGGCTGGCCTTGGACTCAGAGATCTGCCTGTCTCTGCCTCCTGAATGCTGGGATTAAAAGTGTACCATGACTGTCCCTGCTCACATTTACTTGTTTACAGAAATTCAAGGTAAAAGTTGTGGTTTCATGAACTGGATGTAGTAGGAACAAAACAATACCTTCCTCTTATTTAAAAATTTGAATGTTTTGTTCAACATGGATGCCTTTACATCAATTTTATATAGATTCTTATTAGGCTTCTTGACATACCTTTAAACATGTATCCTAAATTTTGCCATGTTCATTTACCCTCGTTCTGCCCCCTAGTGGATTTAAAGATTTATGAATTAGACTCAAGGAAAAACCTGTGGCCAGAAAAACCTCTGAGAGCCAGAGGGCTCTCCCTTTGGGGAGCTAAGAGGACTGGCCTGGACTCCATCCTAGTAGATATCAAGACTCTTGTAATATTTGTGTCTGTATTATACATTTATCTGGTCTTTGAAGTGGCACAGATGTTTTTGTATTATACACGTGTGAGGTTTTTGACTTGTACTTGACAGCATGTGTAACTATCACTGCTCAAGTTAGTGTGTTTAAAAAGAATTTACTTTAGTCTTAATCACACATATGTGCAAGTGTGAGTGTAGGTGCTCATAGAATCCAGAAGAGGACATAGGTTCTGCTGGAGCTAGAGTTACAGATGCTTGAGCTGCCTGATGTGGGTGCTGGGAACTGAACCTGGGTCCACTGCAAGAGCAATATATTCTCTTAACTGCTGAGCCACCCTTCAAGGCCCTGCCCACTTTTTGGTAGGAGAGAGCCAGTTCTTTCAGGTTGTCCTCTAACATTCGCTTGCATTTGTGTGGCTTCTTTTGCCCCATGACAGGCAGGCAGGTATTCCCACCCAAATAAACAAGTTAATTTAAAAAAATAGGAATTTTTTGCTACCTAGTATAAAAGCCATGGAATGGTCTTCATTCACTTCTTATGTCATATCTCTATACTCAGGTTGTTTATAGTAGTCTTTAAACTGAGTCATGTGTGGGGTCCTGTAGTAGTAGTCTGTTGCCTTTCTATACGTTGCTTGTAAACTGTTGGATGCCTGTTTGGCAAGCAGTATGAAATAAAAATTAGAGTCATATTTCACTCCTTTTCTCATAACATTTGCATCAACAGCCCTTGTGTGTATTTTGCACATTCCAGACTGCACTTTGTCCTAAAATTTCCCATATCTGATGGCCTCTCTATAGGTATCTTTATGATTTTTTAGATTCAGCTTAGCACAAATCTTGCTTTGAAAATTGTTTCACTTTATTTATTTACTTATTTAGTGTGTGTGTGTGTGTGTGTGTGTGTGTGGTGTCAGTGAATGTGTGCCAGGACATGTGTGTGGAGGTCAGAACACAACTGTGGGAATTGACTCTTTTTACCATGTGGGCTTTTGGGATTGAACTCATAGCAAGCACCTTTGCCTACCAGTTGAGACATTTTGTGGGCCCCCAAGTCTTGCTTCTTTAATAAGCCTTCTTTCATCGGAAGACATTGCTTTTTATTATTGCTTGTCTTTGCTGTGAAGAGTCACCATGACCACAGCAGCTCTTTCAAGGGAAAACATTATTTGGGACTGGCTTATGTTTCAGAGGTTTAGTCTGTTGTCATCATGGAGGGAAGAGAAGCATGGGGGCATGAAGGCAGACATGGTGCTGGACCAGTAGCTGAGAGTTCTACATCTGGATTGAGAGGCAGCAAGGAGGAGAATGAGCCACAGGCTTGGCTTGAGCTTCTGAAACCTCAAAGTCCACCCAGTGACACACTTCCTCTAACAAGGCCACACCTACTCCAACAAAGGCACATGTCCTAATCCTTTTAAATAATGCTACTCCCTGTGAGTCTAAAGAGCTCATTTTCACTTGTATCACCACACTACTGTTCTGTGGATGAGTCCAGCTTGGTATTTGCACGCAACTGATCCTCTACCTTCTTTTCCTGCCTCCTCCCTTCCCCTCTGCTCCTCCTCCTCCTCTTCTTTTTAAGCTAGATGGTTAGATGGGTGCTACATAGTTTTTGTTTTTTTCTCCCCTCTAAGGTGGTCAAACTGTGGTGGTCAAAAACATTAACTTGTATGCATTGTTGGAAGATGAAAAAACATTTTATTTTTGTATTTGGGTTTAAATTTTTTAAGTGTTTTGTGTGGTCCTGCTTCTTCCTCTGGATCATTGACTGTCTTAATTCAAGAGGGAGGAGGGAGCAGAAGTGAGGAACAGAGTTCTGATGGCTGGGGATACAACAGAGATAGCCCTCCTGGAGATAACTTGGGCAAATCAGCTCATCTTTATTCCAGAGTATAGGAAATATATGGGATTGATAATCCTGGGAATGTAGAACAAATAATAAAAACCCAGAGACAGATATTGAGGTTCAAGCTAAAGATCAGAAAAGCAAAGCATCCAACCAAGGCTCTTACCTCTACTAAGGGTCAGACCAATTGGGGCGATCCTGTCCTCATCGTGACTGCAGACAGACTGACTCCTGTCCCCTCCGTCTTATGTTCCTGTCTAGTGCTGGGATTAAAGGTGTGCACCACCACCCAGCCTCTATGGATAACTAGTATGGCTGCTGGGATTAAAATGTTTGCCACCACTGCCTGGCCTGTATGGCTAGCTAGTGTGGCTAGCTTTGCACTCTGATCTCAGGCAAGCTTTATTTGTTAATCATAAACAAAATATCACTATATGGGGAAAACTAATTTGCATTAAGTGGCACGCTCCTATTATAAGGCTTTGTATGTGGCAGCAGGGCGTATGGCAAAGCTCCTAGTACAAGTCTCAGTTACCATATGTGTAGTAGGGAAAGGCTTCTGGTAGCAAACTATGCCATGGGTCATGTTAGAGGTAAATCATGCATCCAAGCTTATAGACAGCTTTCAGATAAGGTCAGTCCTCTGGGCCTAGAGACATTTTCCAGACAAGAGCAGGCAGAGAGCAGGAAGTCTTTCTGGGGAGGAGCTAGTCCTCCGTGTTGCTGAGCTTTGAGAAAGCTGCCAGGCTATGGTAGACAGCCAACTCCTACCAGCAGGGTCTCCCAACAGTTTTGCTCTTATTTTATTCTTTACTTTGTGCATAATTTATGCTGCTTTCTCTTATTATAAAACAAATAAAATAGAGGAAGTAGCATTTGATATATCTAATAATTCTGCAGAGAAAAGATGCTAGATTAGGAATCAGGAGTAAAGAATTTCTAGACCAGCCTCTTCAGGACACTGATTTCAGTTTCAGCTAAGGGCCCTCTTAAAATTCCTTCCGGAGTCCTAGTCTGTCATATTCACATAGCTTCCAAGTAGCTGACCTTTTTTCTGGCTGAGCCTGAAGCCAGACTCTTATGTTAACCAGCTTTGCTGTCATGTTTTCCTTTTAGATTCTAGTTCGAGACTAGTCATTACCGCTTTATTTGAAATGCATCCTGTTTTGGGTCTAGTATTGTATCCACAGCAAACATCCACTAGTCATTGAAGAGTATCACCTGACCTGGTTGTGATCTGTTTGCTCATATTTTTTTTTTAAGGTATTTTCAAGAGAAATAATTCCAGATTGATGGATGAAATTTTAAAACAACAACAGGAACTTTTGGGCCTAGATTGTTCCAAATACTCACCAGAGTTTGCAAATAGTAATGACAAAGACGATCAAGGTAAGTATGTGTGGGCAATTCGGCACCGCCATAAGAAAATGTGTTTGTGTTTCAGGGCAGATTTTGTCACATTCTTCATTTATTTTGCTCTTTTAGTCTTTATTGTCAATTATCTTGCTAGAAGATAATATTCAGAAAATAATACAATAGCAATTGACATTATAGAGATGAATCCACATTAAAGAATCTATTTAACCATGCAGCTTTTATAGTCCTGTGAACAGAGAAGTCCAAGAACAGATACATTTATAACAGTAAATTTAATGAGTATATAAATTAATGCAAAACTGGTTTTTCTATAGGGTAATATGAAAGAATGTTTATAAGTAAAACTTTCGTATTGTTATTTGTTATCTAGAGTATAAAGTAGCTTCCAGACAGAGTCAGGTAGGCATATGGACAGTGCACACATAGTCCACTGAAGCATGGTTTTCTTTGGTCTGAAGTTTTATGTTATTACTAAATTGACTATGAGTGTAGATGGCATTTTTAGATAAGAAAAAATTGTAGTTAGCCTCTTTTGTAGAGGTTTTACTCACTATACAAAGCTACTTTTAGAATTTGGATAAAGTGGTATGTAAAAAATAGACACCACTGTGACCTGGGGTACATGGCTTCTTTCAGAGGAGCATAGCAGGTGTGTTTGGATACTGACGCTGAAGAACTTGAGTGGCTCCCAGTTACCACAGTTGTATCTTTATTTTGGTCTGAACTTACTTCATAAAACTGATTTTGAAATAAAAATGGAAGAGTGTGTTTTAAATGTTATCTTGTCTGTTTTTTTCTCTAGTTTTAAATTGCCCTTCAGCAGTGAAGGTGCTGTCCCCAGAAGATGGAAAAGCGGGCATTGTGAGAGCTGCCCAGGACTTTTGCCAGTTAGTAGCTCAGCAGCAGAGGAGACCCACAGATTTGGATGTAGATCTGCTAGACGGCTTACTTAGTAAGTCAGGAATGTTTCCCATTTTGTCTCTCAAAGACAGACGATAGGGAATATTTTGGTTCTTTTCATTCTATACGCTCTGTTTTGCCTGGCCTCGTGGCTTGTGCCTGTAGTTCCAGCAGAGGCAGGCAAATCTTTGTGGTCCAGGCTAGCTAGCCAGGGCTAAATAGTGAGACATCATCTTTGGGGGAGGCTTTTATTGTTGCACCCCTTACAGTTCTGACATTTAGTGACCCACATGTGGTGATTTCAGGTTATGGAACTTATCCTTGCACTCAATAGGAAGATTTAACAAAAGAAAAGGATTAAAAAAAATCCCAAACAAACTATGTATTTGAGTATGTGTCTGGGCACCTGGGCAACAGTCAAAGGATAGCTTTCTGGAATTGCTTTTCTTCTTCCAGTACATTAGAATCGCTCACCAGGCTTGGTGATAAGCACCTTTACCCACTGAGCCATCTTGCTGGTTCAAGGAAAGGGTTTTTAAGTATTTTTTCTTTTTCAATGAATATTCTTGGAAGTAGGATTTTAGTCCTAGTTTTCTGTCCCTCTTTCATTTCTTTTTCCTTTTTAGTTTTTTGTTTAGCTTAAAGAACTTTATGGGGGCTGGAGAGATGGGTTAAGAGCACTGGCTGCTCTTCCAGAGGACCTGTGTTTAATTCCCAGCACTCACGTGGCAGCTCACAGCTGTCTGTAACTCTAATTCCAGGGCATCTGATAGCTTTACACCAACTCACATAAATTATTATTTTTTTTAAAGAGCTTTATTAGTAGGCAGTTCCCCAAATACAGTTTTTTATTCAGGCCTCCTTTCTGTGTTTGTTGTGTTTGCTATGCGGATGAACCACTGTATGCGTCATATTTGCTAAAATACAGCATCACAGGTAAATGTACACACAGATACATGCATGTGCATCCCCCCTCACCCCATACTGCTGGTGAAAGTCTTCAGTTTGTTTCTCTCTTGAGCCCTTAGGAACTTTTGCTTAACTCTGTGGTCCTTCTTACTAGTATGTCCATTGATGGCTTCTGTAATATATCAAGTGATATCAAGTCATTGAGTTTTCACTTGTTACCATAGAATGTTATTTACCTTACTTATGCATTTTCTGCCTCAATTATTTTCCTTAGCTCTTCATTCTGGTCTTCTGCCTTAATTTGCTAACTATTTGGGTGACTGCTCTCCTCTTATTTTCTGTCACTGGTTAACTGTTTGGGCTCAGGGAGTAGTAGACCATTGTAGGACTATTTCACAGAGTTACTGAGATAGTCACTATTTTTTGGACATTTAGGAATTCCTGGATATATCCTCAATGGTAGCCTGGGGTGGCCTATAGATGCCTTTCAGATATCTCATTGGGATGTTATTGAAGTGGTGAGCCAAGGAGCTTCATTGTTTGTTAGTTTATAATGAAAATCTATAGACTTCAACAAATTATTTTTTATTTTTTGAGATTAATATTTCTTCCTTCCCCTTCTTCTCTCCGAACCCTCTCCATTACCCCTCCACATTGTTTTTAAATTCATAGATTTTTTTTTTTTTTGCATCATGTGTTGTTACACGCACTCCCCTTATTGTTGTTAGCCCCCCCCCCCCCATGTAACCTGCTCAGTCTATTCAGTGTTACTTGTGTGCATGTTTTCAGATCTACCCATTTGGTATTGGATACCCAGTTGGTGTGTTTATGTCTAGGGAAGATGATTTCTCCTCTCAGCAGTCCTTAGTTGCCTGCAGTTCTTTATGTTGGGTTGAGGCCTCATGGGCTTTCCCCTGTGCACTTTAGCATGTCTTTCATTGTTGTTCTTGCTTGGCTCATGTTTGGCAGTCATATTGTTGAGACTATATGGATGTAGATTCTCACATTACTAGGAGACACACTTTCACAACAGATGCTCTGACCCTCTTGCTCTTGCAATCTTTAATGTAGATTTTAAACTTAATTAACTGATAGGATATTACCAAACACTCTGAGCACCATCACTCTCAAAGTCCAACTGTGTTCAGATTTCACTTGGCCCTCCAAACCAGTGGCAACCACTGATTTGCTTTCTGACTAAATTTTGATTTTTTTTTTAGAAATTTTTTATTAAAAGCAATCAAATAATATGTAGACTTTCATGTCCTACCTAATATTGTTTTTGTTTTTTTTTTCTAACATAATGTTTTTATTGATTATTTGGAAATTTTACATGATTCACCCCAATGACTCACTTCCAAGACCTCCCAGGTCTGTCCCCCACCTTTGTGACCGCCTCCCCCCCAAAAAAAAGGAGAAGAAAAAACAAGTCCAATTTGTGTTGTCCATATACTCACTGGAGCATGGTCACACTCCCCATGGCCAGCCCCTTAAAGGAAACTGGTTCTCCTCCACCCACACCGCTGCCAGAATTGTTTTGCTTTTAAATGAGACAGGATCTCACCATGTAGATGAGATATGGCTGGCCTGGAGCTCACTGCATAGAACAGGTTGGCCTTAAAACTTAGAGATCCACCTGTTTTTCTTTGCTTCTGGAGTGCTGGGATTAGCCCAATAAGCATAATGCATTAGTATTTCATTACTCTTTATTCTTTTGTTGAGTAGTATTCTATTCTGTGGATATAACTCAATTCATCCACTCACCAGTTGCTAGGCATTTTGTTTGTAGTTTTTGGGTAATATTGGTATGACCACCTGCATGCATGTCTTTGTGAGGGTGTGTTTTTTGTCTAAGGTAGATACCTAATAATGGAATTGTGTCATGTGAATGAATATTTCATCGTTAGAAGAAATTGCTACACTGTCTTCTAAATAGGTTATCTATTTTATATCCTTAACAGCAAGGTAGAAGTCTCTATCTTCTCATTCTTGCTGAAGTACAGTGCTCTCTGGGATTGTTTTATGTTTGTCTTTTAAGTATAATTTGAGCCCTCTAGTATATATGTGATAGTATTTAACTCATATTTTCCTAATGGCTAATGATGTTGAGTAACTTTTATGTGCTAATATGCCACCTGTAATTTATTTGATAAAGTATGCGTGTAAATATTTTGCCTATTTTTACTACATGCTTATTTATGGTGTATGTGTGTTGCACTTGTGTGTCACTGTGCACATGTGGAGATGAGAGGACACAACTTGTAGTAATTTTTTTCTTTTCATTTTTTTGATGATTCAGGGTTCTTTGTATTTTCTTACAAATGCGAGGGTTAGCCTTTTCAGCTTGAAAACACACACACACACACACACACACACACACACACACACACACACACTTTTTTGTTTTGATAAAATATAGTTATTTTGTTAAAATATTTTAAGATAGTAAGAGTAATATTTTTAATGAATAAGTTGAATGTACCATGTCATTTATAAGTTGATAAGATTAATAGATTATCACTCACTTAAGTAGAAACTCATTAGAGCTGTGAATAATATCTGAGAGTGCTAAGAAATATTTGTGAACAAGCAGTTTGAGGTCTGTTAATTAACAGCCTGGAGACTATAGTGTATATTACCAGTATGCCAACATCATGAAGTTCTAATAAAAAATGCAAAATGTTTCAGGCTATATTAGGGGATCAAATTGAAGAGATATAAGAACAAGGGGCTAGGAAGTCTCAGTAGGTCAAATTTGTCCTCTGTACATCCTAGTGTGGAGGCACACACATGCTTGCACTCACACCTCTTGTATCACACAGAGATACAAGAACAAATACAAACTGCACATTTAAGGAGAAGTAATATGACTGTTAGTCTTACCTACAGAAAGAAAACATGGAATAATTCTGAAATTTTCCATTAAGTGATCATGATAATTAATATACTAATATAACATACTGCTTTCCCATAAGTATTTTAAACACATTGCCTCACTTAACCTTCATTTGGGCCTCTAGATTATAGTACTCATATTACCATTATTATTTATAGTGATTATTGTGCCAATGAGATGGGAAAAGGAGACAAACAGAATTACAAAGCTAGTAAGAGGTTCATCTGGGACAACCTAGGCTTAGAAGTTTACAAATTCTGAGGTATACTTTCAAATTCTGAAGCCACAGGGAAGTTGTACATTATAATTTTGGGTAGTTTCCTTTAGCTATACTGCAGTGTGTGTGTGTGTGTGTGTGTGTGTGTGTGTGTGTGTGTGTGTGTGTGTGATCCTTCCCCTCCCATAGTCTCTCCCAGATCCTTCCCACCTTCTTACCCACCAAACTTTATGTTCTTTCTCTTTAAAAACAGACAAAAACAAAACAAACAAGAAACACACAGTTTAAAAAAACAAACACTAAAAATCAAAATAAACAAGCAAAAGACAAAAATTGCCCAAATAAACCAGATGTGGTAGTGCACGCCTTTAATCTCGGTGCTCAGGAGGCAGAGACAGGCGGGTATCTGAGTTTGAGAACATTCTGGTCTACATAAAGAGTTCGAGGACAGCCAGAACTGCATAATGAGAACCTGTCTTAAAAAACAAGAAAACCCAAACAAAGCTGAGGTGTATATACATTTTTAAATCTAGGCTACATCTATAAGAGGAGAGGTGTTGTTTGTCTTCCTGAGCATGTTGTATTTTGTTCAACAGGATTCCCAGTTGCATATTTCCGTGTATTTTAGTCGGGCTATTTATATCCTTCCATCTAGGTTTAGTGGTCATTCAAGGACTTGCACACTGGCGGTGCTTACACACTTGAAGATTCTGACTTCAGGAATCTGTGCATGGCATTGGAAAGTTGAATTTTAAGTTGATACCATTCCTCAAGTCGTCTTGGCTCTGTCTTTACACAAGATTTTATTTTTCCTGTCCTGTCCTTTGGCCCTCCACATGAGTAGTTTGCCACTCAGTCATGGCTGTAGGATTTTAATGTGAGCCCTTATTTCCAGGACCTTCCTGTTAAGAGCCTAGACATTGAGCCTGTATCCTCAGATAAGTACAACTGAGTGGTCCACATACCCCCAAGCCCTTTGAATCTCACAATTGTAGCTCGCAAACTGTGGATTTATTCTGCCTTCTGCCTGTACCTTCGAGTTCTCATTTCTGTCCACACCATTGGGCAGTAAGAAGCAAATCCCCTCTAAATGTTCTTTGCAGTTGGTTTTAATTTTTGTATTTTTAAATGGTAATTGCCTGCCTTTGACCAATATCCACTGCTCTTAAAAGGCTGGTTTTGTTCAGTTGTTTTAATACTTTTTTATGGAGAAGATCTGTTAGTTTCACATTTATCAGGTTTCTCTCTCTCTCTCTCTCTCTCTCTCTCTCTCTCTCTCTCTCTTTCTCGCTCTCTGTCCCCTCCCCCCCTCCTTGCTCTGTAGGTAGCAGTGGGTCTGGTTTCAGTATTTATGTGTCTAGCATAGACTTTTAAAGGGACTTAGTCATGGAAATGATGCATATTACTGCTTGGTTGGTCTGTAATCCAGGCTCCTCCTGCTGTCTTCCTTTTGGTTGTGGTGTTGGGGGATTGAACTCACAGCTTTTCCGCTTCTCTCACTGCCCCCATCCCGTTTTGATCTCTTTATGTGTCACTGAAGAGCAGTTAGAGCATGGGCCTCTTGGATTATAGTCATATCCATTACACTAACTACTCTGCAAACTTTATTTTCATAGTTGAAACATCCCATATCTGTAACCCCTCCAGCCAGCTCTCATGAAAATGAACAGGTAGAAAATGTCCATGTCCTTGTTGAGTCCAGGCTGCAGCCCCATTTCTCTTTAAGGCTGCTTGAGTTTCAGGGAACAATGAACACATTTACACTGTGTAGCTGGGAATTGGTCTTTTAGGTTCCTTAGCTATATAATATGGGCTTAACTATATAATACGTTTTTGGTTTTGTTTGAGATAGGGTCTCATTATGTAGACCAGGCTGGACTCAAACTCACACAGATCCTCCTCCCTCTGCCTCCTGAGTATTCTTTTGTCTTTTTTTTTTTTTTTTTTAAAAATTTTTTTTTTTTTTAGCATTCAAATAAGGCTCCTCCCTCTGCCTCCTGAGTATTCTTTTGTCTTTTTTTTTTTTTTTTTTAAAGATTTGTTTTTATTATAGCATTCAGATAAGGCTTCAGAGAACAGACCGGAACCCTAAGAAGCAACTTACTTGTCAAGTTTGTGTATAAATGGTCCATGCTAATTTTGTGTTTGTCTTTATTCCTAAGGTTCACATGGTTTCCCTGATCCTGATTTAGTGTTGAAGTTTGGTCCTGTGGACAGCACGTTAGGTTTTCTTCCCTGGCAAATCAGATTGACTGAGATCGTGTAAGTAACTGAAAGTGTGTTGGTTTTGTTCTTTGATCCCAGCACTGTACTAGATATAATGGTAATACCTCATCCTTTAGTCTGAGTGGCAAAAATAAGGGCCCATGGATGGAGTGGACAGTAAATATGTGATTGTGTAGATGTTTGATATTGACATTAATTATCTTAGGGGATCAGCAATGAGCAATATCTGAGTGCTGGAGTTGTCCCAAAGAAAAAGTAGGAATCCACTCAGGCATCTGATACTGATAGAAATTTTGCATTATAGTAATGGTAGGAAGCATAGTGAGTGGTAAGGAAGCAAAAGAAAACTTGTGATGTTTAAAGATGCAGGGAACTGGTCCTGTTGGAGGGATGGGGTGGATGAAATGAGGGGGTCGAGGGCTTCAGAGTCTGGATGGTTAATGACAAAGTGAGGAGTTGACTGGGAGTGGAGACAGGTGCAACCTGAGGTAGTACAGGAATGGTGATTTTAGGAGGTTTATTTGGCTGTTATAGCTAGAGTTGTTTGGAGAAAGGATAAAGTAAAAAGACAATTGAAGGGCCATACTGTGATTTTGTGAATGTGAAGGGAATGAAATTACTTATGTAGAGCAGGATTTGCTGACTCCCTCTAAAATGGCCAGAAAATAAATACCTTAGGTCTTTCAGGTCATGTAGTTTCTTTCTACTTAACTACAGTTTGCCCAGCTCAGCAAGTTCAGTGAAATAACCATAGACAGCACATGAACAAATAGGTGTGACTGTTATTTGTAAAAATCAACTATTAACTTGGTAGGAGGAACAAGAGGTCAAGGCCAGCCTGGGCTACGTAGTAAGTTCTGGACAAGCCTGAGCTACCAAGAGAAACTTTGTTTAACAGATAAACAAAGACATTGTTATTTCTTGACCCCTGATTTAGAATAAAAAAGAGGTGTTTTGTTTCATATTTAAAAATTTTCCCTAGACAGGGTTTCTCTGTGTAGCCTGGCTGTCTCACAACTCACTCTATAGACCAGGCTGGCCTTGAACTCGAAGAGATCTGCCTGCGTCTGCCTTCCAAGTCCTGGGATTAAAGGTGTGCACCGCCTTTAATGTGTTACTTTTTAAAATGGTCATTTTAATGTAGAGTTGAGGATTTAGGTAGCAGGTGACACAGATACCTAGCACATCACAGGTTGTCCGTTGTACCTAGTACTCTAGTTCATATTTTGTTGAATTTTGTCTGTATTTTTGTGTCCCCCCTTCAACTCCCAGCAGACTAAGCACATCTCAGTCCTAAAATGAGCATGCTAAGTAGCACTCAGCAGCTTCTGAGACACTGAGGGTAGTGGCACAGTGCTTGAAGACGGGCAGGCAGGACAGTTGATATAGTGTGGAAGAGGACATAGGGATGTTGAAGGGTTCCCTCCCCTTATTTATTTTACATTCCGGCCACAGGCCCCCGCCTAGGAGATGGAGTTTTAAGGGGGACATGAATACCATCAAACATCGTTTGGATAGAGATGGTAAGACAAGGTTGGCAGTAGACATCATCATTTTCATTTTATGTTAAGAGAGTAGAAGGAAAACTTGACTGCTTTCAAAATTCCTCCCAGTTGGAGGAAGGAAGTCAAGAGCTATAGTGGACGAAAACCATAGGTCAGGCAGGAGTTCTTTAGTATTGTGGGGTGTGTGTGTGTGTGTGTGTGTGTGTGTGTGTGTGTGTGTATGTGTGTTAATGTCAGGCAGGAGTTCTTTTGTATTGTGGTGTGGGGTGTGTGTGTGTGTGTGTGTGTGTGTGTTAATGTGACCAGAACTCTGAATGTGGCTTTTGTAATCTGGCTGTGTATTTGGCCCTTACTGTTTTGAATTTCCAAACTTCATTATTAAGCTGTTTAAAGTTGAGGGCTTTTATTTAAAGTTCCCTCGCCCTGTATTCGTGCTGCCTTTCTGACGATTGTCTCCGTGGTATGAACGCTCCCACGGAAGTTGGCAGCAGTGGGTTGGTTGCACATTCAGTTGGTTGCACTATCATTGCTCACTGTGTCATTGTGTGGAGGTGCGTGCAGCTCTGGCACGCTCT